CCTAAGCCTCACTGAAATCTGAGCAAAAAAAATTATATGAACTTTTTTTATTTCTTTTAGTTTTAGTTTTTTATCTTATTATATCTATGCATGAAAAAAAAAAATTAGTTAAATTAGGTTATACTGAACTTAAATTCTGGTTCCATGATTTTAAATTTCTTTTTCTTTAAAATCATTAAACACTTTCTTTTTCGAGCATAACTAAAAATTTAACACTTTTTTGTAAGAAGTCTAGTCTCTTATCTAAAGGCCATCTTTGCCTTGGATCCTATTTTTAGGAGATTGTATTTCTTTTATAAGTAAAAACAAATCTACACTTTTCATTTTCCTATGTTGTCAGTTTACATTTTTCTCTAAGTTTCAGTTTCATAAATACGATAATTCATTTGGCATTAATATTATATAAATTTAAAGAAGTTCTATAATTTGCAAATATACTACCAAATTGGGAAAAAAGTTGATTGGTCACTAAAAGTATAGGTAGATTTCATTCTTCGCGCGCAACTTATAGGTAGATCTCAGTTTGGTCATCAAACTTTATTTGAAATTAAACAATTCAACTTTAAGATTTGCTTCACATCGATCACTAAATTTTAATTTATTTCAGAGCCTGTTTGGTACAGATTTTCATTTTCTACAGTAAATCAATTCTCATTTTCAATCACACATTATTCAATAAAATAATATTTTCTATCACATCAATACTTTTTTCTTCTTTTTAAACCACATAAATCAATTCTCATTTTCAACCACACATTCTTCAATAAAATAATATTTTCCATCACATCAATACTTTTTTCTTCTTTTTCAACCACACATTTCCCATCATATCACTATTCAAAAATCAATTTTTCTCCCAAAAATCTCTACCAAACACACTCTTAATATATTTTGCATTGACCACAATGTTAGTTTCCTCACAACTCAAAATGTATCCATCCTAAATTACAGAAAATTAAATTTGAGAATCCACCTCAAACCCAATTCATCGCTGCCCATCCTCATTTCCAGCATTTCATGCATTATTCATCCACTCCACGAAATGCTCGAATATCTACGCAAATTCACGATCTTTAGCTCTAATACTAACTAATATAGAATATTGTCACCGTTTTGCTTAAAAGCTAAACTTCGTAGCAGTGATACAATTTGTCCTATATCACCCATAATCAAGTTCGAAAATCCATCTCAAATCCAGTTCGTCATGCCGACCTCCATTTTAAGCATATTCATTGTTCGGACAAAACCTGAAAGCATACGTGATCGTTGTACAAGTAATAAGATTTGTAAGTTAAGAGTATCGTTTCCACGAAAAATAAAGTCTAATTTGTAGTTAAATAGCTACTATTAAATTAGAAGTGTGGTGGCATCAAAAGAGTTGTTATTTGTTTGTTATTTATTATAATTATACTTTAAGAAAACGACTAAATCTAATGTGAATGCTTGTACTGGATTCATGTATCCCCATATTTCCATCCATTTCATTTCTCAATACTCATTCTATTTATGTCATACATTTCTTATAACCGATAAAACTAATATGTTAAATGCTCTTTTTCAAGATATATCAATATATGACTAACATGAGACGATCATATTCTTAATTCGAATTCATATAAAAGTTATGCATTTAGTTTAGATTATCAATAAGATTGCATGTACACATATTGATTTTATCATGTTTTAGACTTATTGTGAGTATTCCAACACTATAACAAGCAACTAACTACTTAATTGGTGATTAAGCAATAAATAGTGCAATGAGTATGCAAAATCAATCAAACAATAACACGAAATTCCTAAATTAAAGTTATGAATTGAAATAAATGAAAATAGAGTTCAAACATTCATCAAATATAATTGAAAAACTTAGCCAACCATCCTAATTATTAAACTATATAAAAAATAATGAAAAGCATCACTCGAATTGAGAAATAATATATCCAATTTCTGTACTTGAATCTTGACTTTGGATTCAAGATCTTCAATAAGCTTGTATAATTTGTCTTTGGTGGATAATTGTGTCTCGTTCTTTGCCTCCAAATATGTCAAATTTATGAATTTTTAGGTCTAGGGACATCTCGCTAAGTTTTGGACGGATTATTACTTAAAGAAAGCCAAAAGAATGTTTGGAATTGTTATCGAAAGAAAAGTAAGGAAAATTGGATTTTTCCCATTTTCCTTTAGGCGGCCTCAAACATCTCAAAAGAGGAGGAGGCGCATGCCTAGGCTTGTCCCGAACAACTTTCAATTTTTCTTTTATAACTTTTTCTTTCGATATCCTATTAAGGTGATTCAAAGTGCGTTGGAAAACTAACTCAAAGGAATACAATTCTTATATATATACACCATTTCTCCAATTCGAATGTTTGTTATGCCAAAAATGGGTTTTAATCTAGGACTGATAATCCGTAGCATAATTTTTTCGACTGAAAATTGATGTTTGATAATACTTTGGCTATATTTCATCATTTTGACTTCTTTTCTTATACAATTGACACCTAGCACTCTTGATCTTCATCGTGAGGTCAATCACAACTTTTGAGTATTTTCACTTTAGTCGAACTTTGAATTTGCTTCATTTTTGCTCCTTTTGCGTCATTTATTCCAATTTTTCGTCTAAATATGAGTTTTCATAATAAAAGCAATAAATATGACAAGACTTATCATCATTTAGAAGCCCAAATAAGTGTAGACTTATCATTCATACAAGACTTATTTTGGATATGACAAAATATGTGGTTGTTACACCTCAATTTTAACATTAACTTCTAAACCAAGACTAGTGTAGCATCTGATATGGAACAAATCTTAAAAGTTCGATGACTAATTTGGAACCAGATCGATCAATACAAAACAAAAGTTTAGTGACCAAATTGAAACTAACTTATATAAGTTAAATAATCAATCTACGTATAACCATTACTTCAATACTTTTTTTTATACATACTCTTTTTTAATCAAACATTCGCACAATAAAATATTTTACATGTAAATTCAAAACTTTTTTCTACTTATTAATCACACGTTCTTAAAAAAACCAGCGTTCAAAACTCAATTTTACCCAAAAAAAAATAAAAAATGTCAAACTGGGGCTAAATTTGTCAAATTGACAATGTTTGCAGTTCCTCCCCCAAAATAATTCCCAAACGTCATGCCTAAATCGAAAACCTAGGGTTTAGAAAAACCTTGCTCAAACGCTTTGATTTACTGAAAGTTTTAATAAAACTTAAGTTAAAAAATTAGTAATAAATTGTCCAGACCCACTTAAAAAGTGTCAAGGTTCACTTTAAACAATTTGACCCGATTATCAAACCCTTAAAATTGAAAATTCTCTCGTCTTCTCCGCATCAATTTTTTTTAAATTGGGTTTAGAAAAACCTAGCTCAAATGCTTTGATTTACTGAAAATCTTAATAAAAATTAGGTTAAGAAATTATTTTAATCAACGTTAAAAAATTATTTGAAAGATGTACACATGTATTCTTACCGAAATTTGGACTGTTTTTATCCACGTCCCCGTACCCTACGTTTTAGAAAATAAAAATATTCTACACTTAGATACGTACCCGATACATGTACCCGAGTTCGAGCATCATAGATTGTGCATTCATGTTTTCTTTATCTCCCTACAAGAACAAAATTAAAAAAGGAATTCTCTTCTGATTATAAAGTTAGTGTTCTCTTTGCCAATCTTGGCCACTTCTGACTGTCATACTAACAAATGGAACTTTTATTTTGGAAAAATGCTATTCATCCCCAGTGTGGATGAATAACATTTCTCTTTATTTTGTGTAATTCTGCAGGCTGAAGTTGAACGAATTGAAATTAGGGACTTCAAAAGCTCAGGCATGTTTTCCTTAATTTAAAATATTTAATGCATGCACTGCATTTGGACTTTTCTCATGTTTCCTTGATCAAAATAAAGATCCATGCATCTTGGTTAAGTTCTGCATTTTCGAGTCACTGAATATTTAAAGAGAAAATAAAAATACATCAGGGGTAAAACTTTGTTAAAAAAGAATGATTTTTTCCCCTAGCATATTCCTTTCTTCTAGAGAGGAATGATTATCGTGTGCTCATGTCAAGGCAGCAAATGAAGCTAAAATAAAAAGAAATGGTTGTGGTAAGAAATGTAGGAGTTGTACGAGGATACATTTTTTTCATTCACCCCATCTTTTTTCCGACAATATTTCTGCTTCTCTCAAATTTACTTCTGAATATTTTATTGAGTTTATACTTTGGTTACTTGTTATGTACATCACTTAAGTGCAGTTCTTTTTTCAAGTTTCACTACATTTATTAATGGCAAGGAAAATAAAGGCACTTGCAGATACGATATTTTTTATTTAAAAATTGATGTGCCATCAAAAAATTTTATAATTCACCCACAACTGTGACCAGTCATCGGGATAGATCCTACCACTTTCAAATGCAGTTTAAGTTCTTCTGCAGCTGCAAATAATTTTTCCTTAGCTAGCTTTGTTGCTGTTGCCTTTACTTTTTGCATTAACTTGTGTATTGTGAATGTTAATGTATATACATATATA